AAGAGCGTGACGTTGTAGATGACCTGGTGGCCGTTATTCCAGGTGTACAGAACCCTTTCCCGAGGGTTGTAGTCCAGCATGGAAATGTGGGAATATTGATTATGGAATGGGATATCGGTGTACTCGTAGCTGGAAGTGTTCGTGTGATAAGCGAAGTAAATCTTGGCTCCCGCCAGGTGGGAGTTGGTGACGTAAAGAATCCCGCAGATCATGAAGGATTCCCCGGCGCTGCGCTTGGGATACGCCGTATCCCAAGTCCGTAAAACCTCCAGGGAATGCGGATCCAGGCGGCTCAGGACGATGTTCCCGGCGTTCTGGCTGGTGGTGTAAACCACCCAGAGTCCGTTCTCATCCACCATGAAATCCATGTCGGAGAATCCCCCCCAGGAATACGGGAAGGTGTTGTTGAAGCCGGCGCCGGAGAGGCTGCGCTGCACCAGGACGCTCCGGGACCCGAAGTGGTAGCGGATCACGAGGTTGCTCTGGAATTTGTTGTAGTACAAGGAGCCGTTGAAGACGACGTGGCCGGTGCCGGCCCAGGGGTGAGGGAGGAGGTGCTGGAGGAAGTTTTGGCCGGAGATGAAGTCGGAGAGGGAGCGGAATTCCAGGACGCGGCGGCCTTTGTAGTAGCCGTCCATGTACCAGACCTGGGGAGGGGAGATTGGGGGGGGGGATGGGATAGAATGGGATGAAATGGGGGGAAAATGGGGATAAAATGGGATAAAATGGGATAAAATGGGATAAAATGGGATAAAATGGGGATAAAATGGGATGAAATGGGATGAAATGGGGATAAAATGGGATGAAATGGGGAGAAATGGGAATAAAATGGGATAAAATGGGATAAAATGGGATGAAATGGGGGGAAAATAGGATAAAATGGGATGAAATGGGAATAAAATGGGATAAAATGGGATAAAATGGGGGGAAAATAGGATAAAATTGGATAAAATGGGAATAAAATGGGGGGGAAATGGGATAAAATGGGGGGAAAATGGGAATAAAATGGGATAAAATGGGATAAAATGGGGGGAAAATGGGATAAAATGGGAATAAAATGGAGAGAAATGGGAATAAAATGGGATAAAATGGGAATAAAATGGGATAAAATGGGGGGAAATAGGATAAAAATGGGATAAAATGGGGAGAAATGGGGGGAAAATGGGATAAAATGGGGATAAAATGCGGATAAAATGGGATAAAATGGGGATAAAATGCGGATAAAATGGGATAAATGGGGAGAAATGGGGGGAAAAGGGGGAAAATTGGGAGAAATGGGGGGAAAATGGGATAAAATGGGGGAAAAACAGGAAAGAATGAGGATAAAATCGGGGGAATTGGGGGGAAAATGGAAGAAAATGGGGATAAAATGGGGGGAAAATGGGGATAAAATGGGATAAAACGGGAATAAAATGGGGAGAAATGGGAGAAAATGGGAGAAAATGGGGATAAAATAGGAGGAATTGGAGAAAAATGAGGAAAAAAATGGGTTTAAATGAAGGAAATGGGGTTAAAATGGAGAAAAATTGGGTTATAATGGGGGGAAATGGGGAAAAATTGAGTTAAAATAAAGAAACAAATCCCCAGGCAGGCACCAAATCCCTGGATTTTCACCCCAAACCTGCCGGGATCGTGGGCAAATCCCCCCCAGACCCCAAATCCCGGAGATTTTTTGGGAAAATCCCGGTTTTTTGGGGTGATGCTCACCCGGCTGTCGGCGCTGGGGGTCATGGTGTCGGTCATCCAGGAGCCGAAACGCGATCCCGAGGCTCGGATGGTGATGGGATTGCTGACCCCTGTCAGCTTCCCACAGCCTGGAAAAGTGGGGAAAAATCCGGGAATTCGGGGGAAAATCCGGGAATTCGGGGGAAAAATCCGGGAATTCGGGGGAAAGTCTGGGGATTTGGGGGGAAAATCTGGGGATTTGGGGGAAAATCTGGGGATTTGGGGGAAAAATCCGGGAATTCTGGGGAAAATCTGGGAATTCGGGGGAAAATCCGGGAATTCGGGGGAAAAGTCCGGGAATTCGGGGGAAAGTCTGGGAATTCGGGGGAAAATCTGGGGATTTGGGGGAAAAATCCGGGAATTCTGGGGAAAATCTGGGGATTTGGGGGAAAATCCAGGAATTTGGGGGAAAATCTGGGGATTTGGGGGAAAATCCGGGAATTTGGGGGAAAATCTGGGGATTTGGGGGAAAATCTGGGGATTTGGGGGAAAAATCCGGGAATTCTGGGGAAAATCTGGGAATTCGGGGGAAAATCCGGGAATTCGGGGGAAAAGTCCGGGAATTCGGGGGAAAGTCTGGGAATTCGGGGGAAAATCTGGGGATTTGGGGGAAAAATCCGGGAATTCTGGGGAAAATCTGGGGATTTGGGGGAAAATCCAGGAATTTGGGGGAAAATCTGGGGATTTGGGGGAAAATCCGGGAATTTGGGGGAAAATCTGGGGATTTGGGGGAAAATCTGGGGATTTGGGGGGAAAATCTGGGAATTCTGGGGAAAATCTGGGGATTCTGGGGAAAATCTGGGAATTTTGGGGAAAATCTGGGGATTTTGGGGAAAATCTGGGAATTTTGGGGAAAATCTGAGGGTGAGGAATGAGGGAAAAATCCGGGAATTTTGGGAAAAATCAGAGGATTGGGAGAATTGGGAATATTGGGAAAATGGGGGGTTTGGGGAATCGGGAATTTGGGAAATTTGGGAATTATTTGGAATCAGGGATTGAGGTCAGGGAATGCCTGGAGGGGCTGGGAATGGGATTGGGAAGGGGAAATGGGATTTTGGGAATTTTTGGCTGGAATTTGAGGGGATTTTGGGAATTTTTTTGGGATTTTTGGATGGAGTTTGAGGGGATTTTGGGGAGGTTTGGGAGGGGGATTTTGGGGGGATTTTTGGGGATTTTGGGATGAATTTTTGGGAATTTTGGGATGAATTTTTGGGAATTTTGGGATGAATTTTAGAGACGTTTTGAGCAGATTTTTGGGGAGATTTTCTTCTTGTTCCAGCGAGGTTCCGGCCGATTCCCGCCGGGTTTTTTTTGGGATTCGAGGTTAAATCCCTGGAATTTTTTGGGATTTTTTAACTCATTTTAGGAGGGATTTTTGGGGGATTTTGGGATGAATTTTTGGGGATTTTGGGATGAATTTTTGAGATGTTTTGAGCAGATTTTTGGGGAGATTTTCTTCTTGTTCCAGCGAGGTTCCGGCCAATTCCCGCCGGGTTTTTTTTGGGATTCGAGTCCAAATCCCTGGAATTTTTTGGGATTTTTAAACTCATTTTAGGAGGGATTTTGGGAGAGATTTTTGGAGAGGATTTGGGGCAATATGGGGAGGGATTTTTGAAGAATTTTTGAAGAATTCCTGAAACATTTTGAGCAGAATTTCGGGGAGATTTTCTCATTTCGGCGAGATTCCGCCGATTCCCGCCGAGGCTTTTTTTTTTTTGCGATTCCAACCCGAATTCCCGATTTTTTTTTTGGGAATTCCCTTACCCAGTTTCTGCAGGCAGGCGTGGAGCCTCGCCTCCAGCAGCAGAACTCTCTGCTGCAGCTCCTCGTAGTCGTAGGCTCCCATTTCCTCCTGGATCGCCAGGAGAATTCCGGAAAGATTCCGGACCTCGTCCTTGAGGTGGACGATGAGCCTGGAGTCGGATTTGTATTGCTCCAGCACCGGCAGAAGAGGCAGCAGCTCCCTCATCTTCTCCTGGAGATCCTGGAAAAATTAAAAAAAAACGGGAAAAATTTGGTCCTGGGATCTCCTGGGCTTTGGGGTTTTTGGTTTTTCTGATCTTGGGGAAAAATTCCAGGAAAAATGATCCTGAAATCCCAAAGTTTGTGGTTTGTTCCTTCTGATCCCAGGGAAAAATTCCAGGAAAAATGATCCTGAAATCCCAAAGTTTGTGGTTTGTTCCTTCTGATCCCAGGGAAAAATTCCAGGAAAAATGATCCTGAAATCCCAAAGTTTGTGGTTTGTTCCTTCTGATCCCAGGGAAAAATTCCAGGAAAAATGATCCTGAAATCCCAAAGTTTGTGGTTTGTTCCTTCTGATCCCAGGGAAAAATTCCAGGAAAAATGATCCTGAAATCCCAAAGTTTGTGGTTTGTTCCTTCTGATCCCAGGGAAAAATTCCAGGAAAAATGATCCTGAAATCCCAAAGTTTGTGGTTTGTTCCTTCTGATCCCAGGGAAAAATTCCAGGAAAAATGATCCTGAAATCCCAAAGTTTGTGGTTTGTTCCTTCTGATCCCAGGGAAAAATTCCAGGAAAAATGATCCTGAAATCCCAAAGTTTGTGGTTTGTTCCTTCTGATCCCAGGGAAAAATTCCAGGAAAAATGATCCTGAAATCCCAAAGTTTGTGGTTTGTTCCTTCTGATCCCAGGGAAAAATTCCAGGAAAAATGATCCTGAAATCCCAAAGTTTGTGGTTTGTTCCTTCTGATCCCAGGGAAAAATTCCAGGAAAAATGATCCTGAAATCCCAAAGTTTGTGGTTTGTTCCTTCTGATCCCAGGGAAAAATTCCAGGAAAAATGATCCTGAAATCCCAAAGTTTGTGGTTTGTTCCTTCTGATCCCAGGGAAAAATTCCAGGAAAAATGATCCTGAAATCCCAAAGTTTGTGGTTTGTTCCTTCTGATCCCAGGGAAAAATTCCAGGAAAAATGATCCTGAAATCCCAAAGTTTGTGGTTTGTTCCTTCTGATCCCAGGGAAAAATTCCAGGAAAAATGATCCTGAAATCCCAAAGTTTGTGGTTTGTTCCTTCTGATCCCAGGGAAAAATTCCAGGAAAAATGATCCTGAAATCCCAAAGTTTGTGGTTTGTTCCTTCTGATCCCAGGGAAAAATTCCAGGAAAAATGATCCTGAAATCCCAAAGTTTGTGGTTTGTTCCTTCTGATCCCAGGGAAAAATTCCAGGAAAAATGATCCTGAAATCCCAAAGTTTGTGGTTTGTTCCTTCTGATCCCAGGGAAAAATTCCAGGAAAAATGATCCTGAAATCCCAAAGTTTGTGGTTTGTTCCTTCTGATCCCAGGGAAAAATTCCAGGAAAAATGATCCTGAAATCCCAAAGTTTGTGGTTTGTTCCTTCTGATCCCAGGGAAAAATTCCAGGAAAAATGATCCTGAAATCCCAAAGTTTGTGGTTTGTTCCTTCTGATCCCAGGGAAAAATTCCAGGAAAAATGATCCTGAAATCCCAAAGTTTGTGGTTTGTTCCTTCTGATCCCAGGGAAAAAATTTGGGATAAATGGTCCTGAAATCCCAAGGTTCTCCTGCAGATCCCGGGGAAAAATTCCAGGAAAAACGGTTCTGAAAACTCCAGGATTGTCCTTCAGATCTTGGGGAAAAATTCCAGGAA